TCACTTGTCCCGTTTTACTTACGTTACAAATAAGCATAAAAATATTCGTTTATAGTGAACCTGAACCTCGGTTATAGAAAATACAACAACCTGGAAATACATTTCATCCTGGAAAATAATATTTGGCCTTAGTGGCTCAAATTCTAACACTAGGCAGTTTGAAAAAAATATCGGTCGAAGGTCATAACCGAAGAAGTCTCCCCTGAGGTGAACATGGTGGACCCGGAATGGGGACTTACTGATGACCTCATACCTCTCAGTTTCAAGCTTGATGTTACGTGATATTCCGCGGATCTAAGCGCGTTGTATTCTACGTAGGCGACGCGACTGCCACAGCCACACAACCTACCGGTACCCGCCTTGCCGCGCAGAAAAGTTTCACTAGCCGCTTGCGCCTTGCTGCTACCGAAAGGATTTAATATGTTGTTAGGCGAGTAAAAAGGCCTTTGACGAGTAAAAAGGCCTTCGAAAAGACCTTCGAACAATGCACTAAGCATGGAAGGGTGCCAAGACTGCATTATGATACTTAGAGACAGTTGACCATGCAAAATCAAGTATGGCGAGAGCACGGACTCAGGAGAAGGATCTAGAAAAATTAGTAATGAAGATGTTCGAATTAAACAATTGAAATTTATTGATTGTTTAAAGAACAAATAAAGATATTGAAATTTTCGTATCATGTGTTTAAGTATTTTGCTGTATATTTATATTAATAAAATCAATAATTGAGTAGAAATTCTATTTAATTTTGACATCTTCGGATGTGGTGAACCTCTGATATAGTGGACCAAAAATGTTAGTCCCCTGAAGTTCACTATAACCGGAGTCGACTGTATATTCAATATTGTAGTTGTTGTTGGCCTAGAACGCCACTAAAAATTCGAACTTTATCATTTTTTTAAGTTTTCAGCGAAAATTAAATCTGTACCATTTTTGCGCTATGCGAATAAAAAGTGTAAACAAAAAGTTTTGAATCATTTTTGAGAAAATTTTGAAAATGTTGAGGCGTTATGTACAGTACTCCTAAAAATCAAAATATCCGTTTCAAACTCGCGGGACCTCGAATTCACCCAGATCGATGAAGGAATATCAATTTTGGAGAATATCGTCTGAATGGGTAAGGCCGAAACGTTGTCAATAGGCTGCCGTCCGGGTGGAGGAAAAGACGACGAACGTACGGGCGGACAAATGTTCAAATAGACGTGTTTCCTTACTCGGTATCAAGGACCCACAAAACGTTGGTTCTGACATTTAAGGAAATTATTTACTACATCCGGGAACATGAATTATCCACTTTTTCGAAACCAGGGCCCCCAATACGAGTTTTTTGGGTCGACAAATTGCCAGTATTTGCCACTTTATTACAATGCTTTCTCTTTACTCCATGTAGTGAGTCGGGAACGAAATAGAAGAGCTCAACAAAACGTGAACGACAACATTGTGAAACTTTGTTGATGTTCGGAAGGGGCTAGTATTTTCTTAATGATTTTAGGAATATTGAACTAGAATCCTGATCGAGAAGGGATTGTAAAGTTGATATCTACCAACGAAAGTTTCTCCTGTCGACATTTTCCTTAGCACATGCAGAGAACTCATCGACTTTTTCAAAATGAAGTTTTTTATTTAAATATTTCTTTGTGTTAATGTTACCAAAGTGAAAATTTAGATAAGGACATTGAAAACTTTTGTTTTCCCTCTAAATGGCTTTTAATGAATGTTACCTCTGAATATATTTTTACGATACGTATATTTGATTCGGTATGGTACGGTGCTGTACCATTCAGTTGTGTGTACCTGAGATAAACTGTTTAAAGGGCTATCACAATGGAATTTCCGTATTCGCTCAGTTAGTGGCCTTGTAATAATTCCGAATTCTTTTCGGAACTATATCACTCATGAGTTAAGTATCAATTGGGCCAATAGCGATTTGTAATTAGATAGTTAAAAACCAAAAATGTGCGCCTAAAATCGAAAAGCTCACATGTGTACTTTTCGCAATCGTCTTACCGCTGATTCAACTGTATTGGAAAATAAATAATTATTTCTTCCATGATGGAAACTACAGAAATCAATACAGCGTCTGAAACAATAAGCAATATTTTTCGCTATTTTTAACATTATGTTCATAATATTTAAACGATTTATGACTTTCATTCACGAAATAATCTAACCGAATTAGAGTTTGAAACTTTCGCGATTCGCGAACATATCCATTAGATTCAAACTACTATTGAAATTACTCATTACCATTTAAAATATGATTTCTTCTCTTAGATGCAAAAATTACACCAGAAAATGGCATATTTCACTACAATAATTGTAGTTGTTTTGAACCTTGTTTTCAACGTAACCCTATCATGGCCCTTCTATGCACTTGTGTCCTTGTAGTTAGAGTATGATAGTGTAGATCAGAGTAGTATGTAGATGTGTTAAGAGGGCAGAGATCAAAAAGCCAAAATTCAGTACGTATGCCCATTGCGTCAATTATCTCAAAACTTCAGTCTTACTCTAATCATCTTCAAAGCTTGCGCATATTTAAAAATGAATATGTTTCTTAGCTTTATATGAATTACATCATTGCAGATTTGTTTTTTTATTGCTACTAAATAACATTTATTAAAATTGTATTTGAATAAATATATGTTGACATTATTGATTATTTAAAAAGGAAATATTATTCAACTTCATTATTACTATATTATTATTATTATTATTATTATTATTATTATTATTATTATTATTATTATTATAAGGATAAATGTGGAACTATAAAATTCAGACTGGACCATAAGTTATTTTCTTTTAATACGTCTCGTTGGTGTTTAACAGTATCTGGAATGAACGCCTCATTAAAATAGATGCAGTATTACACATTAACTGTAAAGACAGAACATAAGTGTATAAATAAATATGTACATGTGGCCAACTCGGACCACGCGTGCATCCTGCTTTAGCAAGTTCAATACTTTTCTGGGAGTGGGGAGGGGGGAGGAACAGCATTTTAACTGAATCCCGATTTGTATCCCCCAAAGTTGTTAGCCATGGACGATGAGATGATGGAGGCTGGCACACACATAGACACACACAAATATAACCATGCCCGAGGCAGGACTCGGACCCGCGGTGTTCTGGTCCGCGACCGGTACGGCACTACTGCTCTAACGATCTCGGCCATCTGGCCTGCTTGCATATTGTATATGTATATATAAATATAATTTTAAAACATAAAAGAATATTACCATTTTGATAACGTCCACGAGTGTTGACATACTATAAGCAAATTTTGGAATGATTCAACTTTAATTCCCATACGAGAATAAGAACGAGATCACTTGTGAATATGTAAATTTTAGATCAAAATAAGAAATAATATATTCATGGGAGAATTTCACTTGTGTATATGTAAGATATGTATGTATAATATAAGTATATTATAATAAAAGAAGCAGTAAGCAGAAATTATTTCTACTGCCTGTGCTCTGTAATTCACAGATAAACAAGTAGGAAATACAGAGCGTGGAAGAAACATATTTCACTGACCACCTCAATGGTAATGAACTGTTGTGAACAAACGTACAACTTGCTTATATGCTAGCTTTCTTAATATTAATCACTAACACAGGAGCGGGGGGGGGGGCAACTCTTCTGCGCTTGTCATTGGCCGTCGCAATATCGGCAGATTATTAGGCATTTCCAATCATGGAACAATAGAACGAATCCAATCATGGGAAATCATATCAAACCGTCACAACACGTGTCACTACTTTTATCATTGATAATCGCAATGGCGCCTGGCGCCCGAACAAATGAGCGTTGCATCTTCATCGAATGACAGAAATGTAGTCAGAACCTAAATTCAGAACACTAAAATTAATGAAACTTAACCGTCTTACGTAAAGTAATTAGAACAAAACTTAATGAAGAGGTAAAAGTAAAAATTACACTAAAACGGTACGTACAAGATCGGATGAGATTGTTACATCGTTGAGGTAGAAGATGTTACTGAGATTTGTCCGTCCCAATTCATAAGACGTTGAAGTTGCTTTTAAGGCAGCTGCAGCAACGGCGACAATAACAATGCCAACAATATTAATGAAAGTTATTACAAAAAAACAATTGCGGCTCGAATTTGCTTTCTTTCTCACACACGCGCGTACGCATAACGACAAAAGATTATCCATATCGATTAAGCGAATGAGCAGTAAACGTATTCAGTACATACTCAGAAGACAAGCAAGTGACTTTCTCACAAGGCGTTCGACTCGTCCTCAAAAGAAACGGCACCCATCATCTGCACATTTTCAATCAACAAAAGTTACATCAAATGAAAAAATATCTCCAAACATCCTAGACAATCAATATCTTAAAAATTGCCTGAATAATAAGGTGCAAATTAATATAATTAAGACCCATCTTATGTGACGCATGTGATCTCTTTAGACGAAGACAGAAAACCGGCGTTCGTTTCAGTTCGAGTCGAGAACAGCTAGCGATGGCGTCCCAGCGTTCTACGCTGGCAGCCTGTGACGCTTTTTATTAATCGATGCAGTAGTTTCTTAGCAGTACGAATCAAGAAAGGCTGAACCAAACCGGCTCCCTGCATGTTAACGGATAAGGACGCGCGGCCTGTCCGCAGGTTCGTGCTTCGCAATGCTAAACCTCCATAAGGAAGTGATGTCTCACCGGTGCGCTGCCTGGCTAACAAGAAGGTGTAAATAACATCCGGCGGATCTTTTTGGTTTCAATATAATGTAATACAATAATACGTCTTCAATGTCTCTATTAGTGGATGACATTAAATCAAAAACATATATTCTTAAGATATGATAAGTATTTCACGACTATCTTTAGGTTGTGTAACCGCACAACCTACGCTGGAGCCGCCAATTTTACCGAGAAATATCATCTTTGAGTAGCTGGCACAATAGTTTTGATAAAGTGTACAAAATGTTCAATGCAAACTTTTAAGTTAAGAAGTGACAATACTTTCTTTTTTACAGACACGTCATTTCACGATTTTGTCAATCACCCCTGTATGTGCGAAATAAAGGAACGTTCTGTGTTCATCCACATTGATGTTCCTGGTCACGAAGACAATGCACCGAACTTGACAACTCCATTTCCAACTCTTCAAGTTTTGGGAGAAGATTTGGTCACCGTGTTGGATTTCCTTCACGTCAAATATGTGATTGGTCTTGGTGAAGGGGCGGGTGCAAACGTTTTAGCCCGTTTTGGCCTAGCCTATCCCCAACGAGCTCTTGGACTCATACTTATTAATTGCACTGGAAGTGCAGCATCAGTCATGGATACTTTCAAAAGTAAGGTATGTGTTGGACTGTTATTGCAGTGGTGACTAACTCAGAAAAATTAAATGGATTATGTATTTAATGTTGTGAATATGTGAGTGATAACATGAATTCATGAATTGTCAAACGTATTTCTGAGGCATTATTTCATTTTACAAAAATACTCGGGAGTCCAATTTTTGACAACGAGTTACAAAGTATCTTCTTGCAAATGCATAGGATTTTAATTAGTTTTATTCATGTTCAAAGTACTACACACAATGACACACAATATGGAAGAAAATGTAATATGTCAGATAACAATAACAGATCTCCTGGAACTGAAATATTTTTACTCATTGCGGATTTAGTTGGATCATACTCCAACTAATCTAATATTTACAACATTTGACATTTACGAATTAAACTACGAACATGAAAAACGCTCTCGTGAAGTAGATAATCGCAGCTGGAACATGCGTGATATTTTGGCAATAAAACTGTCTTGTAGTTCTTGTGACAGAGTTATCCATTCTTCTTTGAAGACACTGCAAAATCAGGATATGTTTCTTTTAGGGGTGTCATCTCGACAATACGTCTTCCTAGAGCATCCCAATCAGTTCTTCGCGTTTGGTATTGAAGAGTTGGCGAGCTACTCCAATAAATGGGCATGAACAATCTTTTCCAATAAGGGGTTATTGCATGGTATCGGAAAAAAATGTACCAACAACAACGATTTTACCGCTGTTGAGGCAAATTCTCTATTCATTTTCAATATTGGTATCTGTTCTCACTTATCATATACCGATATTCCGATCAAACTTACTCGGATGATAATCATTGCGTACCCAATTAATCTCCCCAAGATGTTCAGATACAAACAAAATGTCAACTGGCTCCAAAAATATCGAATCACAAAATTCGCAAGCTCGCCACCTGAGACGATCAACTGCCATCCAAGTGTCATTCACGTACAGGATACTCTGTCCTCTTGCTGCATGATTGTGTGACGTAGTCTCTGTAGCCTGTAGCTTGAGAAACTAATCCCGGGTTTATTTTGGACATAAAACATTTAAGTACAATGTTATGTAATGTGAGTAGTTTAACATTGGTATCTATATGCATATTATTAGTAACTGTAATACATACTACAATCTAGGAGTTTTCGTTCCCATCATCAGATGATGAGCAAAATATAATACAGTTCCTCCTTTACGATTGACTATATGAGCACTACGGAATAATTGTAAATTAACATGATTTCAAAATGTTAATACCTTTAGTTATTCTTGAAATAATAACTTATCAGTAAGTAATAGCAGTTTTTAATACTTACAAATAATAAACAAATTATCATTGCTATGTATGAAAAGAACAATCTGATTTTGTAAAAAAATATTATTTCACTATTTCTCTTACAATTTTGTTCACTAAAACTGAGTATATTAATAGCTTTAACGCCTAAGATAGGTCACATGAAACAATATATTGCAACGTTTGAATGAGCAAATAGTATGTGTTTAAGTGTTTATTTCAATTATTTGAACAACTACTATAATATACTATTATTTCAGTTCGTGAACTGGAAGGGGGAGAGTTCTGTGAGCCAATCTGCCGAAGAGTATCTCATTTTTCACAAATTTGGACATGTGAGTATACTTTTTGTGTATGTCAACTTCTTCGTTTTTACAAAGCGTTGTTTTAAGGACTGACAGCACGCAAGCTAAACACCGTTCAATCAATGTGAATTGTAATTTGTTTTTTGGAATTATGTCGAATTCCATTTTTTCTATTCCGGATGAAATCTACTAAGACATCCTCATTACTAATGAAGGAAAATAAAATCGGCTGTTATACCAATAGGTACGAACAACATCGTCTTACAATCTAGCGAGAATGCAGTTTCGTATCTGTCGTGTCGTGTCAACCTGAACTAGGAGTCTTTGTATTTAAAATGTAAAAACTTACTAAATACCTTTTACCAATATATTCTGTTTTTTTATTCTTTTGTGAATAGTATACAGAAGTTAGTCTGAAAGCTAAAGGGGAAAAAGCAAGAAAACTACTCATATATACAAACTGAGTCATTTCAGATAAAAAATACACCAGCAAGGTCCTTATAATGTTGGCAATAAATAATTTATTTACCGTTTTGGCCTTAGAAGCATAGATTCCAGTAGAAAGTGTTTTTGTAATTTTTCAATTTCGTCGAAGTCAGTACATTACTGCAGATGTCCGTGCATTTCCAAGACTTCAAACGCTGTTGTAGACTCAGGAGATTGTTAGTGCAATTTATGAAGAGCGAGTGCACTGCAGTTCTGACGGCCGGCTGACGGGCTAAGGTTCTGAGGGGCGAGTGCAGCGCCGAGCGAGATGCAAGGCTGCCGTAAATTGCACCCAATTCCAGCAGTTCACAAAATGCGTTTTTCTTCGTTTGCATCCAAAATAGATACTTTCTTCGGCGGTGCTTAGAACTATCTCAAGAGCTTCAACTCACCGTGAGCACAAACGTCTGGACGTCGGAGAAGAGGAAAAATCACTTTGCTGTGCAGAAAAGAAGCGTTTGCCAGCAAAGAACATTAGAAACATTTGTTCATTTAACTGAAAAAAAGACAGACGTGATTTTTCCCTCCTAAAATGGCTTAATCTGTATTGTATAATACATAAACTACGTACACTTACGCGCATTTGTGAGAATCAGATTTGGGCTGTTCTTAAAATAAAATCTGAAAATGGAATCACAAAAAAATTTTAACGCGATGAATTGTTTGCGTGTAACTATTAAAATAAAGTCCCCGAAAAATCGAACAAAATATATTTAGAAAATATAGTATGCGCATATATCAGATTATGTATTTCTAAAATAAAATCTTACTTTATTTGTAACAAAAACTTTCGAATGTTCCGAGTGCAATGTTAGTGTAACAGGTTTTATTACAAGCGACCCCATGAATAATATGTTTTGTGCATTTTAGACCAGCCATTGCGTTGAAATGAATTGCGGCTCTTCGAAATGCAGCACAAGACTCGTTTAGAGTAGTCACGATCAGGTTGTGAATTCAACGCGAAATATTCGGAAAATATATCAGTTGTGTGATGGGTTATATTCAGACGTTCATATACTACAATGATTTCCCGCGTGCCAAAAATTGTAAAATTTTGTCTGGCACATTTTATGTGCAAATCTTTTTTCCGCAAGGAAAGGAAGAAGATATTTGTGAGAAAACTATTTTGTGTAGTATCACGAGTACATGTATTTATCCTACTTCAACAATATTTAAACAACACTGCTAAAAGGTAAGTTTATACTTTTCTATGTTTTATAGTTTCTCGATTTCGATTGATGTTATACCAGAGCTTTTCAAATTACAGTATTGGTGATTGTGCATCTTCGGTATGCCGTTGTTCGTTTAGATATGGAGAGATCAGCTGATGAGCATAAGCCACACGCAAGCAGTTTTGAGATACAGCTAATTTAAGTTTATCGGTCATAAATCGACGTTTTAATTTTTATATGCGTAGTTTGTGCATCGATGTATCCTCAAATGGTCCACGGACCGCGCGTCACCCTCGTGCTTGTTTCCTCCTCTCCCACGCCACCCTGCCGGATCGGCACTCCCTCCCCTCCCCATCCAGCCTCCGCTAGAAGTACCCAAATAGCCACCTAGCTAGTGAGAAAATTCGGGACGGTCCATGGCCGGGAGTCGATCCCTAGTCTCCCGATCTGAGGAGCTGCACTGGAAGAAGTTGCTGTCTTGAGTCATCTCCGCCGGTCCGTTGAGAAAGAAACCTAAAAGGGAAACCCCTTGTATTTACCCCTTGTTAGTTCGTCACCGGATCTCACGTTCGAACGACAGAGGAACGTCGCCACCTCCCGGGAGATAACGCGTTATTACGGGACTATCATCATAATAGTTGACGCGCCCGGAAACAAAAGAATATATCCCTTATCAAAGTCGTACACACCTTCCCTCCCCCCGGCCAGTTCCAAATTATTCCGCGGGTAAATTGTTTCAGTCATTTAAGGAGAATTTTTCCTTGCAAGATGGCTTCGTGTACCAATTTTAAAATTATGATTCCCTTTGCTTTTACATGTCGGTTGGAGTAGCCTACTCCTAATATCCTTTCATGCAGAGCCTACATACGGCTTATACAAAGAGCCAAACTTAGTCAACCGACAGCGTTATTAATTTGTTGTAAGCGAGTTGGTTACCACAGAATTTAGAGACTTCTAAATTTTCTTACGATCCCATATTTTAAAATAGGGCAACAAAGGAAGTGTATTCCAGCATTTTAACATCACTTTTGGTCTTTTCCAAAGTTAGCATTACAAAAACCTAAGGCCCTGCACGATTTTTTCACGGTGCGATTTACCTGATCTCTCCAACTCAAGTCTCTGCGTAGTGACTAGGTACTCGCAGCTACTCACAATAGAAATCGAATAACTACTTAATGTATAATTTCTCATCGCCGAGATGTTGAAGACAATGTACTCTTCTATTTCGGTTTATTTTCATGTTGTTTATCCGGGGCCGTTTCTTTAAGCAATCTAAGTTCTTTTGCACGGTTTCGGCATCTTTCGGGTCCTTAACTTCATTTCGCGTCCCTGATCATCTGTAAAACGTTGCAAAGTAATTGCCTTCACAAATGTCATTTACGTAAACCATAAACAAGAGACACCCGAGCACACTTCCCTGCGAGTCACGTCCCATCCCATTTTGATGAGAGCTTGCCATTACTTTTTACTCTCTGAGAGTTCCTTAATGGAACGAACTTTATCCACGAAATAAGTCTAAAATCCACGGGTGATGCCGTAAGTTTCTTGAGACGTCTACCATCCTGAATTAAATCGAACGAATTTATTATTACAGCATGTATTTGTCCGTGTGCATCTAAACTATTTGCGCTGACCTGACATTCAGTCGTCACTTGACATTCACAAGAACAACACCGACGAAAACCATGTTGCCCCACAAAACGTCATTCCGATTTACTCCAGAAATTCCGTTAAGTTATTCTCTATTAACACCTTTGTTTC